TCTAATGATATCTATATATAAGATATGTATTAGGTGTATGTTATATATTAGATATTATGTTAGATTTTACATATAATTTTTTTTAATATCTAAAAGATCTGTTTGCATATACCATTTGTGAGAGTCAGTGACAGTATCAGCTGACACACAAACCAGGAGACAACCAGTAACTGTTGGGTGAAAACCTCTGTGCTGTGTCTGTTCTCAATGTATCCCAATAGCAATGCCATGAAAACCCATGAAATCCTAAAAACTGCAGTTTTCCACTCAATTATTTCCATATTGTGATCCAAGAATAACTGACAAGATTTATCCATGGTTTAGACTCTGACCATTGTAAATTCAGGACCACTGCAAAGAGTCTTTGAGAGACTGAAAGAAGAGATTTAGGACTACAAAAAGGGATTTAAGATATTAGGGCTCAAAAAGGAGTTTTTGCACAGTGTCTCCTGCTGTGCTGGCACCTCCCAGGAGGTAAATTGTTTGTGGCTATTCATTATTTACTTCAGATTGCAAAAGGAGCAAAACTCAGTGTTTCTTTCAGGACAGTATCAAATCAGTATGGACAGTTGGGTGCACAGATTGTTTGGGAAGTTATTTCTGACTACACATTTCCCTCATCAGATCTGTAGTGGTGTCTGTTGGAAAGGAGGAAATTGTAGGGATTATCCCAGTGGAAAGAATTTAGTCCCCAAAATCCCATTATTCCCCACACAAATGTTGTAACATAAGAGCAGAAAACTCCAAATGCAGTAGTGATTGTATTTAAGACCCTTTAATGAGTCAAGTCTTTTTCTTACTGACTCTACAACAGTTTCCTTAAGAAATTGCATATTATGAACCTCCTAATCCAGGAGTATCATCCAGCAGGAGATGGCAGTATTGATTTTACCTGCCATACCTGAGTGCCTTCTTTGAGCTCCACTGACTTGTCATTCAGAATATTCAATATTATGTCACTTCTGGTGCTGTGATCTTTTTTTGTAGCATGAAAAACTGAGCTGTTACCACCCATCAGGATCTGCTTTAGGTGTTTTTTTAACCCCCCCGACTTGTATCTCAGCACAGCCAATTTTAGAAGCCTCTTACACAAGAGCTGTGCAAAGCAGCCACTGAAATGTTGCAGTTTGGCTTGGGCTTCAGTGCCAGATTTAGCAGGACAGTGTTCCAATTCCTGTTTAATTAGCTCTGATTCTGCAGCCTTTGGTGCCAGATGGAGAATTCAGCAGCACTGGGATTCCTCTGGCTGCACCACAGATGCCTCCATCCCTCACCCAGGGCTTCCTCTGTGCTCCCTGAGGAGAAACAGGCACTTCATGAGGAGAGGACAGCAAAATAACCCCCAGTTGTGCCTTGCAGGGACCTGATTCTCCTCACTGAGCACGAAGGGAATGCAGATGAGTCTGCACTGCTCAGGCTGAGCTCACACCTGTGTCTGTTACCTCAGTCTAGAACAGTAGAGGGGAAAAAACCAGCCATATTGGGTTTTTTGGGATATAGTCTAACTGAATTGAACATTATTTTCTTACCTGCACCTCCAAGAAAGAATTTTATTTTTTTTCCTTCTGCTTCCATCCTCTTTCCAATGTAAGGACATACTCAGGGTGCTGTGGCCTGGATTCTTTGTGTCTGACTTGGGGTACTGCCAGGTTCCCAGGTGGGCTGATGCCCTCTGGAAGCCTTTACTCTGACTTGTTTGGGATCTTCCTGAGACACCTTAGTGCTGATACGAATCCAGACCACCCACTCTAGGTAATCCCATATGTTCAGGGTCTCACCTCAGGCACCTTTAACTGCAGCTAAACTGAAACAGATTTCAAATCTCTATTTTTGTAACATGAGATTTTTGCAATAACAAACCTACAGGAATCTAAGTTTTGTATATAGGAAATGTCCTTTGTACTAACATTTTAGGGGTTGCAGTGGAGGTAATGGTTGGACTTGATCTTAGAGGTTTCTTCCAGCCTTGATGATTCTGTGACTGATCCCAAAGTTTGGGTGACTATTGTGGTGCAATGGTTGAAGAGGTAATAACTTGTGGATAAAAGGTGAAGCCACAATCTTTGTATCATTTAAAATCACTTTCTAGGAGTGGAGAGGTTGTATTTTACTCATTTAAATTTAAACTTCATTAAATTTTATCTCCATTAACTGTTTGCCTCCATTCCCATGCAGTTAATTTGGATATTTAGTCTTTGCTCCTTGCTGGTTCACTGGGAAAATATCCAAGCTTGTTCTAGGACAAACTACTGAGTTTTCTGCCAAGTTAATGTTGAGCTTTCTTTGAAAATTTGTGATTTTTGTGTTTCTTTGTTTCACCAAGAATTAATATCAGTGGAGAGAAGCCCAGAGATCGCTCCTGGCACACGTTGACTCCAATAGGAGACGACAGACTCTTCCTTTTTGGGGGACTAAGCTCTGATAATGTTCCTTTAAGTAAGTAATTTGGAGTTGATAACTCCATTGTGCTCTTGAAATCACTGCAACAAATGTTATGTGAGAAGTGGGATAGTCTTACATGAGTTTTGTAGAAAAGGCAACTTGTTTTCATGAAGAACTGGTGAAATGAGTGCAAATAGTGTTGAATGTCACTGGGAAGAGGTGGTTGTCTCAATTTATATAAAAGAAGGAAATTAAATGTATTGTAATTGCATATTGTAATGCAGTGAGTGTTCTGTGACTGAACAACTAAGATTGAAGTGCTACAAGTTAATCACAGAATCAGTCTGGTTGGCAGGGCCCACAGTGGGTCACCGGTCCCACCTCCCTGCTCAAGCAGGGCCAGCCCAGAGCACATGGCTCAGGGTTTTGTCCAGGTGAGTCTGGAATATCTCCAGTGAGGGAGAATCCATGACCTCTGTGGGCAATGAGTTCAGTGCTCAGTGACTGCACAGGGAAGTTCTTCCTCAAGTTCAGCTGGAACATCTTGGGCATCAGTTCCTGCCCATTACCTCTTGCTTTATTGGTTTCCTCCACTGAGCAGAGTCTGACCATCCTCTTGGCACTTGCCATTCATGGACTTGAATCCATCAGTGAGGTCCCTCTCAGTGTCTCTTCTCGAGGCTGAATAACCCCAACTCCCTCGGCCTTTCCTCATCAATGAGGTGCTCCAGTGCCTTCAGCATCTTCCTTGCCCTCCCCTGGAGCTGCTCCAGGAGCTCCATGTCCCTCTGGCCCTGAAGAGTCCAGAACTGGCCACAGCACTCCAAATGTGCCTCACGAGGGCTGAGCAGAGGGACAGAATCACCTCCCTGAGCTGCTGGCAATGCTCTTCCTAATGCATCCCAGGATCCCATTGGCCTTCTTGGCCACAAGGTCACACTGTTGGCTCATGGACAGCCTGTTGGCCACCAGAACTGCCAGGTCTTTCTCTCATAATGTAGTGATGACGTTAGTTATCTGAATAGAACATGTTCTTAGAACACAGAACTGTTTGTATAGATGAAAAGGTGATTTTTTTTCCCTCCTGAAAGCCACTAATGCTTGTTCTTACCTTGCAGGTGATGGTTGGATCCACAGCATCACCACAAATGGATGGAAACAGCTCACCCATTTGCCTAAGAGTAGGCCTAGGTATACACACACAGATTGTGTTGGCTAAAATGTAACCATTTTTTATAAGTAACTCATTTTTACTTTATTTTAAGCTATATTTTATGAATATTTTAGAAAATGGATGCAGTATAATTGAATATTTTGCTTTAGCAACTTATTTCCCCTCACACCTGGTACAGCATTTTTAGTGTCTATGTTTGTCATCATTGATGTTTATTTGCTTTCAAAGATGTTTTTGGTGATGAAGGGTCTGAGTGTCCAACCAACCTGATGTTCTACAGACAAATTATGGTCAGAGAAGGAAATAACCACATAACTTCTGGGGAATTCATAAGCAAGGAGAATAATAAAAGCTAATTAACAATGCTATGTTATTAGTAATATTTATATTATTAGTAATGTTGGTTTATTAGTAGATAGAGTACCATGAGAATGTCTGAAAAAGCATTTTTGAGGGCTCAAAAGTAAAATACCTTCTGTGTTTATGAGCTAAATACTATAGAATTGATTTGCTGCAGATAGTGAATACTCAGCTTTTCATGGGATTCATTCTCTGCATCCACCCAGGATCTCTCAGCAGGATTTTGTATCACTCTTTTATGGTATCAATATGTATAATTCTGGTCTGGTGTTTGCATGGTTCCTGCCTTGTGTTCTGTTACTGAAATATTCATCTCCATTAATTTTCTTCCTGTTTTATGCTGTTCCATGGTGACTTTTAACTATAACAGCCACAGCCAGACCGAGTTTTCTGCTTTGTTACACTCCAGACTCTCTCAAGCCCAGATAAACTCACATCTTAGCTTCTTAGAATACCTTCTGGGTGGGGAACTGATAGCTGAAGGGACTGATGATGCCTTAAATGACAAAGCACAGCCAGGGCTGTGTCTGTCTTGAGTTCAGTTCTGTGTGTGGATGGTCTCATAACACCTCTGTGTCATTACTTTTATTGGTGATGGTGGAAAAGGAGCAGGAAGGCACAGCATGTGCTGTTTGTGCAGGGAGTGGCAGCTCAGCCTTTCCTCTGCAGTTAAGCTGCAATAACATCTGTGCCTCACTTGGCAGTGGGACTGGATGGTAGGAACCAGTGACTCCAGAGTCCCTGAGTGGCTTCCAGCCAATTCCAGGGTGGATTCCATGCTGGGATCCAAGTGGAGCTGTCACCTGGCTGTACTGGCAGAGAGACTGTTCAGCAAAGCACACTCCTTGCTGCAGTGGAAACACCTGAGGCTGCCACTGCTGCAGTGGCTGGGGCTGGTGTGCACACACAGCACCTGCTGAGAGCACAGCTTGGGGTCACATCCTGACAGCTCTCCCACCTCCCTCCACCCCACCTGGCCTGTGCTTCTCCACCACCAAGTGTGGCATTCAGGCTGGAGGCTGAGGGCAGAGACTTTATTGAAGTAAAGGACTTCCCCTCCTTAAACAAACAAACAAAACAAACCCCAAAGCTCAGTAACCTTTGTCAGGAAGTCCTGGAAACATGGATAGAAGGAGCCACACCAAAAGCCTGTCTGTGTGTTAATCTAGTTGGAATGTGAAGTACTTACTTATCCCATAATTGTTTCCCTGTACTTAGGATTAGTGCAGGACCTCTGCAGCTGGAAAAGGTTTAGGTCAGTTCTGTTGCTCTTAGGACTTAAAGTACAGTAGTAATAATACATATATATGTACTTTTTTTATATGCTTGTATTTTTATAATTCAAGGTATATTACACGTTCATTAGACTCTTCCTGATGTTTCTGCCAAATTCATTCCCTCTCCCTAAATTCTGTAAAGAATAATTTCTTTCAACCTTCAGGTCTAGTGGTTGCTAACAAACTGTCTTCTCAGGTGATTCTGTATTGACAGGAAATACTGTTGTTCTTTCTGTCCATCACTTGTACTTCAGCCAACATGTTGCTAGGTTAAAAAAGAGAACAAACTGTGTTTAATTCCTAAATTCCCAGTGTTTTCCTTGCCATGTAATGCTGTTATTGTAGCTGGAAGAGCTGTGTCAAAAGGATCTGTGTGATGTAAATAATGTGCTTTGTTAGAATGTTCAGGTGCTGAGTTAGAGCAGCCCTGAGAGGACAGGAGCTCTGTCAGGATGTAGGAAAAGCCTCGGGTTTGGAGCTAGGATGTCACCAGTCAAGGCAGAAAAGGCTTCCCAGTGTTCTTCATGACCAACTCCAGGCCAGAGTTTTCCTAATGCAGATCAGGCAGAGACAGATCTGTGCACAGGTATGAGGAAGGGAAAAGGTGGGATACAGTTTAGCCTAAAAACTGATGTGAATGGAATCAGGGAGTGGGAAATGTTTACTTTTGCATGCAAGCTTAGTGGTGCTTTTGGTTTTGGTGCAGTAGATCTAAAGGGCCAGAGCTCTGTGGTGATCATCTTGTGATATTCAGTGGTGATGGAGCAGCTGGAAAATCAGAGATTTTGACCTGCTAATAATAATAAAACTAAATCTAACAAAGTGTGGCTGCTGGAGGAGCAGATTCTCTGTTACAGAAGGATTGTAAAGTCAGGGCTCGGTTTTGTGTGGTCTTCTATGTATTGTGTGTACATGCACAACACACAACTTGGTGAGATATTAGTAGTTGATTCACAGAAATTGATCCTCAGGAAGCTTTGGGGGAAGTTAAGACTGAAAGAGGCTAACTGGTGTTCTGGTGCTCTGGGATCTGAGTCAGTACGGAGAACCTCCCAGTCTGAAAGCCATTGGAACTGTAGTTATGAACCAAAGAAATAGTGGAAAATTCAAAAAGGAAAAACAAAGCTGTCCTTGGCAAAAGCTTGGTTTGTATTTTTTGTCTACCAATTTTCCACTAAGTGGCAAATAACACAAAGTCTAAATAACTAGAGTGCAGAAAAGTCTAATAATGACAAAATACATTGGTCTGTATGAAAAAAATTCTCATGAGATGGATAGTCACATTGCTCTCTCCTTTTATATCGTTAAACAAACAAGTAATATATATTTTAAGGTATTATTTTGTACCTCTGAAGACTTCTGAAATAATGTCTTGTTGCTAACATGCAACTGTTGTTTCTTGGGCATTAACTGTATCTCTGATTCTGTTTCAGATTGTGGCACACTGCCTGCCTGGGCAAGGAAGGAGAAGTGATGGTGTTTGGTGGGAGCAAGGATGACTTGCTGTTCATGGACACAGTGAGTAAACTGGATAATAAATCTTATTGCTAGGATAATTAAAATGGATATAAAATCCCAGAATGGTTTGGGTTGGGAGGGAACTTAAAGCTCAACCAGTTCCACCCCCTGCCGTGGGCAGCAACACCTTCCACCAGTCCAGGTTGCTCCAAGCCCCACCCAGCCTGGCCTGGAACACTCCCAAGGATGGAGCAGCCACAGCTGCTCTGGACACATCAATTACTGTGGTTATAGGTAGGATCTCAATTTAAAAAGAAGTAAAAACCCCAGAGACCTTGGTTCAAATTGGTACCTGAAATTAATCACCACTGAAGAATCCCCATCTGAAATGTTCTTGGCTGATGAAATAAAAAGGAATTTGTTATTCTTTATAAGTAATTATTTAGGTATGATTATTAATGTTATTATCAGCATTAAATCATTCATGTGGTAGTAAGTGTGACATTAGTCTAGAAAATATCACTATTTCTGAGTTCAGCTCTTTGCCATTTTAATGGCTCTGTTTTTGTCTTGCCCAGGGGCACTGCAGTGACCTGTTGATATTTCAGACTCAACCTTATTCCCTCCTCAGGTGAGTTGTGGTTATAGAATCACTGAATCCCACACTGGTTTGGGCTGGAAGGACCTTAAAGCTTATCTCATCCCACCCCCTACCATGGGCAGGGACACCTTCCACCAGCCCAGGTTGCTCCAGATGTTACACAGAGGTTTTAGCCATGTGCTCTTGCACAGGCAGAGAAACACCCAGTTACTCCTCAGTAAATATCTGAACCACGTGTGGTGTGTTGACCAGAGTGTTTACTCAGTGATGGTAACTCCCCTGCACATACACCCACAGCACATCATGCACATCACCACTTTCATTGGGTGTCATTCACATAACTATTTCTTCTCCTTTTTTTGTCCATTTTCCTTCTTCAGGCTGTGTCTTGACTGCATTGGGAAGAACTCAGCTCTCTTGAAGAACCAAATCCCCTGTTTGCCCTCAAAGCTTTTGCAGCAAGTGCTGAAGAAAATCACCTTCTGGGCTGCAGTGACCCACAGGCAGGAGAGAAAAGCTGAAACTGAGAGGCAAAGTCAACTCAACAGCACATGAACAAGGGCAGGGAAACCCTGGGCCACCTCAGGATGTACAGCAAAGTGTTTTGTTAGTGAACTTTGCTACAGGACAGCTGTGTGTTGAGCTGAGTTTCTAAGTGAAATTTGAGAACAAAGAAACCCTTTTTATGGAAGTCTCTCTTGTTTTCTGCAGTAGAGAAAACTGATATAACCTCATTTGTATATATTGTTCACTTCTGCTGTTGTGGTCTTACAGTCCATACCACTTGTTCTTTTGGAAGGGGACACAGGACACAACATGTTTTCAGGTGGATAAAATAGGATTTAAGTCTAAAAGTCTTCCTACAGCCTTACTGCACCAATTAGTTTAACACGGTGTCTTGGGGAGATTCACACTTGTCAGTCTTAAAACAGGTAACAGATTGGAGAACACCAAACCTTGTTTGATTCCACCAGCCTCTGCCATCTGACCATCCAAACCATGGAGCCACACCTGGTGCTCCAAGAAGGAAAACCCATAAGGAAAAAACAACTTGAAAAGGAAGCTGTGACAAGCAGCACTGCCTGATCTCTATAGGAAAGCTTCAGTTCATCATCTGGTTTTACTGTTTCATCCATAAGTCCTTTTGGAAATAAGTTGTATATTGTATTTTGGATGTGTAAAGTTTCTATTTCATTCCTGTTTAAAGAAAAAATGGCTTATTTATTGTTTAAAAAGAGCACATGTAGTACCAGCTATTTTTCTGTTTCAGATACTTAACAGGAGCACAGTCATTAAAATTTTATAGAGAGTTGAATCAAAGCAAATTTGGACTCGTTTTGGGTTTTTTATGATCTGAAAAGCTTTGGGTTTAATGTTCTTACAGTCTGTAAGGCTGGGTTAAATCACAGACTCAATAAGGTTGGAGGAGACCTTTAAGGTCATTGGGGCCAACCATTAACCTGTCACTGCTGCAACCCCTAAACCATATACCCCAGCATCAGATCCAGATGCCTCTTAAACACCTCCAGGGGTGGTGACTACACCACCTCCCTGGGCAGTATTCCAGTGCCTGAACACCCTAACAGGGAAAACATTTCTCCTAACATCTCCTCTTCCTCTCCCCTGTCTCAGCTCAAGGCCATTCCCTATAGTAATTAATTAGGTTAATTGTGAATAGGAGGTTTTGGAGAAAATTTATATCATACAGGGAAGTTTTATGGCTGGGAAGTGTAACAGGCAAAATTTTAGATGCACTAAGCATTTGGTGTTAAGTTTTGTGGTGTTTTTAACCGAGAAAGTGCATCTGTCAGCTAACAGGGTTCTCTCCGTGAGCAGGGGCAGGAGCTAAGGGAACAGCTGGAGCTGTGTTGGGGGAGGTTGAGGTTGGGTATTAGGACAAAGTACTTCCCTCCGAGGGTGTTTGGGCGCTGGATATTCATAGAATCTTAGGATTTTAGGGGTTGGAATGGAGCTTAGAGGTCATCCAGCCACAACCCCCTGCCCTGGGCAGGGACACCTCCCACCAGAACAGGTTGCTCAAGGCTTTAGCCAACCTGGCTGTGAACACTGCCAGGGTTGGGGCAGCCACAGCCTCCCTGGGCAACCTGTGCCAGTGTCTTACCACCCTCACATGGAAAACTTCTGCCTAAGATCTAATCTGAATTTCCTCTCCAATTTGAACCCCATTAGCCCTTGTGCTTTTGCCTCAGTTCCTAGCAGAGAGTCCCTGTCTGACTCCCCTGTAGCCCCGTCAGATACTTAAAGGCTGCTGTGACATCTCCACACAACCTTTAGGCAAAGGCTCTTCCCCCAGAGG